AGTTCAGTACTATGTTCATAGGTATTTCTCCATACGGTAAATGCCAGTAGATCCATACCAAGGGCAATATGGTTAATAAACTCATTTGTAGCCAAAGTAGGGTTGAGTTAGGAATGACTTGTTCCAGTTCATAGTACTGATAAGTTCATTAAATGAGTTCCAGTCCACACGATGGTGGTTGCGAATGGGTGTTAGCATTTTACATGATCGGTTAGGTGAATTAAGAAATATCACAAAACCTTGTAGTGATCACAGCCAGGTAGTGGATTATCAATGAATACATAAGCGTAAGAGATCCCCATCGTGAAAACAAGGTCTAAGGTAGTGGCACTTCTGGTTATCTCTCTAACATGCTGGGTCCAGCCATTGAGATGATTTCCTAAATCCCCGCAGTGTTTTTCTGAGTGTATACAATATCCACTTAACATGCGTTAGGTTGAAATCTCAACACATATGTTTAGACTTGTATTTAGTGCTGGAAGCAGCACCATATTGATGGTGCTGCGACCCGGACGGAATCCATATTGCTCTTCCGCCACGTTAGGTTCCACAGTCTGACTGACGACGCGGTTGAGCAGAATTCGGGCAACCACCTTGCCCACACAACTCAGCAAATTGATATTAGGATATTTCATGGCACATTGCTTGCTTCCTTTGCCCTTATACAGTGGTAGCACAAGGGCATCCATCAGCTCAGGAGGCACCTCCTCAATCCATACGCGTTGCACCAACTGGTGTAGCGCATACACCAACGTGCGCCTGCCGTGTTTTAATACTTCAGGCGGGATCCTGCCGGAACCGGCACACTTGACGTTGCGCAGCGGAGTAAGTGCTCTCTGCGTTTCATCCACTGTCGACGTATCCGTCAGACTCGCCATCAACTCGTGCTGTTTCAGACAGTCCAAAAGTAGGTCAGTCAAACTCCGAACGGTTTTTCAAGAGACGGTCAAAGTGATTTCGCTGGATCTGTATTATATCTGCAGTCTGTCAGCAGGTAGCGCCTGAGCCACCATCGACCAGCGTCCTCAGCGGTTCCAATCCCGATCCATACACCGCCTACAAGGAGTCAATAAATTTCTTGTGTTGGTGGTGTTCGGCGTAGCAGTCTATCTGCTTCGCCTTCTAAGTCCAACATGCATTTTTATGCGACGGAGCTCTCGGGTCAGTCGTCGAATTCGCCCAAACTTGCTCTTCTTCCCCAAGCTTCTGTAGGAATTCTGCAAAACTGACTCTTCATCCCCAAGTCACTTGGGTCTGCCACATGTGCAGCAAATGTTGCATTCTTCTCACACACGAATGCATTAATAATCACATTGTTCTCATAAAACCAATCACGCAGCTTCCAAATTGCGCACCCGATGGTCTCCTCGGCAGCAGCTGTCACCTAGTCGCGAATATGGTACCACAGGTCGCCCACTGTGGCTATGCACTCCACATCACACAGGCGTGCCGCTATCGCCTTCCTCAGCTCAATACGTTTCGCCACAGTACCGAGGGAGAAAAGGTTAAATTTATGCCAATTCACGGCAAGAATGCAATATGTTGATTTCCGAAATGTTTGAACAGTTTGGTTCGCAGCAATTTGTGATCAGTGCCACAATCAGCTCCACACAGTACACGTGTCATGCACACTTCACGCATATCACGCTGACGTACGATGACATAGTCGAGCAGGTGAGCGTGACCACTCCGTGGGTGCGTCCAAGTTGCTATATCACTCGCACTCAGTGCAAACCGAGTGTTCGTGATCGTCAGGCCGTGAGTGGCACACAGTGAGAGCAGCCTGTCACCGTTCGCATTCGCTGAACCAATGCCATGCGCACCGATAACATCTGTCCACACCAATGCATCACGCCCAACGCGTGCGTTGAAATCACCCAGCAAAAATAGTCTGTCGCTCCTCGGCACAGACCGTATCACGGAGGATAGCTGAGTGTAGAATTGATCACGCATGTCATCAGATACAACACATGGTCGGACCGTACGTGCTTATACAAGTGGCAAACTTACCTCTTCCGAGTCGTAGACGAGCAGTCATCAGTCGCGCGCTGATGCCCGTTGGTTCACCCATCAGCTGGCCATGGAGGCGATCGGATAGTGCAAATCCGACCCCATGTTCACGTGGTGCTGAGGTGGCATTTCCCACCCGGTAGAATGTGTACCCAGCACCTAGTTCATGCAACTTACCTTGCTTAGAGAGCCGGGTTTCACTGAGCGCCGCAATATCGATGTTGTAACGCGCCAGTTCCATCGCGACCAGTGCAGTGCGTCGTTCGGGTCGCCCACTCTATTTCTGGTCCAGTAGTGTGCGCAGGTTCCAGCACCCGATGGTGAGTGCTTTGCACGTAGGCATATCATTGCATTGGCGGCAATCGCAGGCGGGGTGGCGGCTGTGCTTCGGAAGTTTGCTTGTGAGATTCTGCCCGGAGCCTTTGGCTCGATAGCCTGACCCACAATGCAGTGGGGAGCAGATCCAGCTCATGAGCGTGACTGCAGATATACTTTGAAATCCGTTTGATGGCCGCCACGCGCAGCCTTTGAGGAACTGGAACAATTCATATATGTTTTGCGACCGTAGTAAGATACGCACCTGCGACCACGGCCAGACGCAGGTGTGTTTTGGCGGGTTTGCACCAATTTGTGCACGGGCTGTCTGGCTTGAGGCGGGCAGTAGCAAACCATTGAACACCCGGAGGTGCCCTCCCACCGTCAGAGAAAATGCGTCGCGCTCGTGCGCTACGCCAATCGAGCTGTGAGCTTATAACCCGTAGACCTGTTGTCTCGCATTGCTAGGTTTTACGGGAAGAGTGCCAACGACCACTTCCTAACCTCTGAAAGGGATGGGGTTTGGAGTAGGATACTGGCAGAGCGCCCACACCTGACAGGAGAACGACTCGGGATTCTCAGGCTGTCTTCCATTAAATGTACACCCGAAAGGCAGCGAGTCTAGCACATGGTCATTTCACTGACCCATGCGGATTGGTGTCTTGGATCATAGGAAGGAGAATGGCGTAACCCGACTCCCACCCGGCGGTCGCCACGATGAGGCGTCTATGACATGAGCTCATGGCACAACAGTAGCAGCAGTGGGTAGATTATCTGTCAAGATCTAGGCACCACAAGCGCCAGCACACCATAGGTTCTCCCGCCTAATATATATATATATATATATATATATATATATATATATATATATATATATATATATATATATATATATATACATGGTCGAAGCAGAGTTGATAAGTGAGCGGCTTCGGATTGGGTACCGCAAGCTTGTAGCGGCGTGCTCCTGTAACAGGGAACAGCCAGTAGCGAAAAAACCGATGCCAGGGTTAGCGAGCGGTAATGGTCGTGGGAGATGGATGCCATGGAAGGAATGCAGATCGTAGGTATTCAAGTACTCCACACACCACAGAGCGTCGGCATTTGCAACGAGAAATTCACGAACTCCAGACATACGTTGAAATTTAGCATGTTTAGCCAGTCAAACAGCCCATAAAAGCAGTGTAGGGTCTTTTTATCCTCTTGGGAATCGTCTACAGTGCGCATTCCTTGCGATCCATGTAGGGTTCGACTCCGAATCCTAATTACCACCATTCTGGACTTCAGGGGAAGGTAACGACCGAAGTGAATAAATCACTAGATGTGGCAGAGCACAGCTCACTACCCACTGACATGCACTCTACTGCCGCGCGAGGGAAAGAGCAGTCCCACAACAAGCGACGAATTTACCAAACTTAAGCAGCCAATTAACGTATGAAATTACAAGCGGTTTGGTCTGTGTACCGATTACAATGGATTAGTAGGGAGATCAACAGTACGCCGGTACGTAGTACCGAAGCTACGCTGCGACGCAACCACCAACAGTCGCGCGTGGACTAAGGATACTACTGCGACGGTTGCCCGGTCCCCTATTCAGGCTCGAATTCGCGC